GGGACAGAGTGGTATGCATCCTTTAAAACAGTGTAGCAGTGGTCCAGTATATTGCTGTCTCTGGTGGGGCACGTGCACGGGTGAGATTAGCTTTATTAAAATCCCCGAGAATGATAATGAAAGAGTCCGGATAACGCTGCTCTGTGTGTGTAATTTGATCGGCCAACAGTTCTAGCGCCGCGCTTACACGCGCGTCAGGAGGAATCTATGTACTCGCCAGAATAAACTAGGAAAACTCCCGCAGCGAATAAAAAGGCTTACAGTTAATAAAGAGAGCTTCCAAGTTTGGGCAGCACATCTTCTTTAAAACTGTCACGTCTGTACACCTTCACACATGCGCATTGGCTGGTCTAGCCTCCGGTTTCTATGGGAACCGGAGCTTCTAACGGCCGCTGCAGTGACGCAATGACTTAACCAATCAGCGACTGGCTCTTTCATTTAGAAGGCGGGACTATTCCGCCATATTGCGCGTTGCAGTTTCTCCCATTCATAAGTATAGGAGTGAACCGTCTTTGTATTTCTGTAGTCTTTGGTTTAAATCACTTTAGCATCAGGCTGCAACATAAGATTGTGTGAGACAGTGTTTAGCTATAAGGCAACCCACAACTGGAACCAACTTCAAGATGTCATCACAGGAACCCCAACAGTAGCCAAATACAGGTTCAGATTGAAAACGTTTAAAACACAAGTTGAATCAGATAATGCAATGTTTATTATTTCATTCCATTTATGTCCTTTCATTTATGATTGTTCATTTACAGTACATCGTGGCATTTCACAGCAAGCTTCAACTTTATCTAATATTTTACATTAATACTTATAATAATATTAATAAAACTAATACTTAACATTTTGGAGGTTTTAAACTCAATCACATGAATGAGTGATGTTTGAAACAATTGAAATTAATTTTGCATAATACATATTTTCTGGTGCCATTTTAAATTGCTGAGCCATTTAAATCTCTTTCCACATATAGAACACAAATAGGGTCTCATATATGCATGACTTTTCGGATGCAGTAAGTGTGATGGCAATAGAAAATTTTTGTTGCACTGAACAGAATTAAATCTCTTTCCTCTAGAGTGAATATGCAGGTGATTTTTAAAATCGCTTCTTTTTCTAAACTTCTTGTCACACTCAGAACTCTGCAATTTCTTTCTAGAGTGAGTTTGCAAATGACCTTTCAGGTCTCTTTGATATGTGAAACTCTTCTCACACTGAAGACATGTGAAAGGCTTCTCTCCAGTGTGAAGCCTTATGTGAGTCTGAAGGTTTCCTTTACGTGAGAAACTCTTTCCACACTGGAGACAGATAAAAGGCTTCTCTCCAGTGTGAACTCTCATGTGAATCTCAAGGTTTGCTGTGTTTATGCAAGCCTTTCCACAGTAATGGCACATGAAAGTATTTGCTCCAGTGTTATTACGGTGAGTTATTACATGACTCTTTAGTTCTTTACTGTCTGTGAAACTCTTTCCACACTGACAACACAGAAAACTGTTCTCTCTTGAGTGAATCCTCATGTGGTAATTAAGCGTTACTTTATGTCTGAAACTCTTTCCACACTGATCACATGTGTACGGTTTCTCTCCAGTGTGAATTCGCATGTGAACCTTGAAGTTTCCATTAAGTGTGAAACTCTTTCCACAGTGTTGGCACATAAAAGGCTTCTTTCCGGCATGAGTTACTACATGATCCTTAAGGTGTTTCCTGTTTGTGAAACACCTCGGCTTCTCTCCAGTGTGAATTTTGATGGGAGCCTTAAGACCTTCTTTTTGTGAGAAGTGAGGTCCAGTGTGACATCTCATGTGGGCATTAAGGGTTCCTTTACGTGTAAATTTCTTTCCACACAGAGGACATGTGTAAGGCTTCTCTCTGGTGTGAATTCTCATGTGAGTCTTTAGACTTTCTTTTCGTGAAAAGGTGTTCAAAAAAAACAACCAAAAATAGTGCAGTTTAAGCAGGCATGTGACAGGCAAAGGACATTAATGTTGCATACAGGACACAAAATCCAAGAAATGTTCTCAGAGAAACATTTTATTTGCCCAAAGTGGCAGACTGCAGAAACGGAACACCTATTTCCTGACATTGTCAGTTTTGTTTATATAGCCCAGTATCACAATCCAAACAACATCCATTTACAATTCAACCTCACAACAACATTAAACTTCAAATTCCATGCACCAGCTACAAAATAAAAAGAACTGTTGTTTATAGCAACACAAACTCATCAGAGACCTGTAGCACGAAGCCGGTTTCAGTTAAGTTTGTATTCACTGAGTTTTCAGGCTCAAGAAGGTGGGTTGGTTTTGAGCGGGTTTCGTCACTATAGGGCCTTTCGCACCGCGGGAACCTTTTCATAGTACCAGAACTAATTGTGGAACTACCCACTTTTGGGCGTTTTCGCACCGCCAGAACTGGGTGCGATTTTAGTACCGGACTGCCTTTTTCGAGAACCAAATTAGCTCCTACTCCGGAACAGGGTCTAACCAGCACAACTGTGACATAAGTAGACATTGATTGGCCAAACGCATACGAAAACGCCCTCACCCGCCATGATTTAAAACGCCGTGTAAACATAAAGAACCTTCGTTTTTTTTTAAGAGTGTAACAGAAATTCCGATAGGAAACTTTAGCAGTTTTTGACTGATAGAGATAGCTTTGGTCATTGTTGGAGGGAGGGATGGGCCTCGGGGCCCAATGAAGATTTGCGTGAAGACTTTTAAGATAAAAGGGTGGAGGGTAGAGACATTTCACAGGTACTTGAGGGCACTGCTTGATCTCGGGGACGAAGGGGATCCATCTCCTGTCTTTCATATGCTAATCGCAGACAGTCTGGGAAGAAATATCCCCCACTATGCAATGTAAAGGTGTGACTCTGCGACCATCAGGGCTATTTGTTTATTCAGTTATGTTTTAGCTATATCTCAGTTGCTGTGTTGTACTGAAATCTATGTGATTGAATATGTTTCCCATAACATATTTGACATTTTCATTTGTTTTGTAATCGTGATCATATTATCATAATCATTTACTTCATGGTCTTTTTAAACGTCACTCCAACAAGAGAAAAGGGAAAACAATGTCTCATAAATTATGAATGAGAAGACTTGAAACCTACTATTGTAATTTTGTCTGACTAGTCCAGAAGGGAGCAGGTTTTATTCTGGGTTAGAGATCGCAAACCCAAACTGGACCAATCAGCTGTGAACAAAGTGACATATATCGGATGCAATGAAGACACAAAATTACCAGACTTTTGGGGCTACTTATTTATTATATTATATGAATTATAATTGTTTATAATTCATATATATTCATATAATTATTATATTAAGTGGCAATTCATTTTAAGCTTTGCTTTTAAAGCTGCAGTCTTTAAGTTTTGCCTCTGTGTCGCCATCTCTGTTTGAAATCTGCAATTGCAGTTATTTGCGAATTTATTTTCCTAACGTGGGTCAGAATCAGAATGAGCTTTATTGCCAGGTATGTTTACACATACGAGGAAAACATAAAAACAACTGCGGAGCACGCCACGGAGGCAGCCATCAGCGTCGGCGCCATTTTACGTCTTGCACCAGCACGGCTCCAGTGCGGATGTATCTAATGTTTTGAGGAATAACTTATGCGTGGCTGTCAGTCACCGCGCCGGTGTGGATATTTACTGTACTTCGGAATCCCAGATTTTACGTCTTGGAAGTATGACCCAAATAAGAATTTTCACTGGATATTGTCATCTGACCGAGTAAGTAAAAAAGTCTGACACTTTTGTTCTAACCAACTGAGTAAAAAGCATTACAATAAATCGTGCTAAAATGGTGATTAAATCTAGCGATCGGTTAGCTCATATCACATCACTCGGGCTAAGGTAAGGAGATCGTTTTGAACACTGTCTGGTTATGGTTATTGCTCAAAAACTGATTTTGTATAATTTTTAACCCAAAAAAAAGTTACGGACTGGAGCTTAAATTAAATTAAATATAGATACATATTGTGACGGTTCCAGCAAGTAACCGGTTATTTCTGAGTTACAGGTGATTTGGCTGAGGGGAGTGGTTGCACACCTGATATAGATAAGCTTTAATATATCCAACTTTTAAAATGACTAAACTTATATGTTTTCCTTTTGAGCTCTGTGTGAAACTTTATTAATAAATTCATTTGATTCCTTTGCATAGTCATATATTTTCTTTCTGCTGCCTTCTCAAACGTTTGCTGCAGCAGAAGTGTTTATTCCTGCCTTGTAATGCATTTAAATTTATTTTGAATAGACATCGTTTAATCTTCAGCAGAAAACTGAATTGTGCTGACTCTCACGAGAAGTGAATCCAACTGACGCTTTGCTGATGCTCTCCACATTCCCTGTGATTGGCTGTTTGCTGCACGTGTCACACTTTCAGGTGCACCTGTCCTGCCCGTCCCACGTTCTGTCTCAGCCTAAGCCTCCGCTATTGTATTTACTGGTGATTGACCCTGTCTTGTCTGTGTACGCAATAAACGCTGCAAATGGATCCAGACTCTGCTGATGATTCGCAACAGAAATGATTTCAGTGAGTGTATAGCCCTATTCGGACGGGAATAGTTTTCTAAACTATGTTTGAGCTTTGATACTTATCACACGATGTCAGTGATTTTCATGTACAAATTCAGACGGGACTAACATCTCCATGTTTATTACAGAGGTGGGAGGTCTGTTTTGTACATCTGGGCGTTGTACAAAGGTCCTGCGCTTTGTATGCGTGCATTGCATAGTCATTCGGATTTCTATTAGTATAACCACAGTTTTACTACAAATACCATGGTTAATTTGTGGTTACTTTAGTTGAAGTTTTTTTTTCTATTTATTTGTAGTAAAACAATGTTTAATTTTCGTAAAGGTACATATGTAATTAAAACGTAATATAATTGAGTGCAGAAATGAACGGGAGTAATCTCACCTGATATTACAGTAGCCAGTCTTAACATTTTTGTGATCTGGCTCTTGATTTTATTTATTTACTTATTTCTTCGCCGGGAGGCCAACATATCAAAACTGCATGCGGTGATGAGTGTGTCTACGGTAGTTCACGTTGGCCAAAACACACAAGAAAACGCATTGTGAAAAAAATATTGTCAGCAATCACAGACATTCGCATTCGGACAGGATTAGTTTTCATGCTAATAGCTGCTCGCATCTCAGCATGTCTAACAGACATTTCTTGCTGGATGAAGGACCATCACCTTCAACTAAACCTTGCCAAGACAGAACTGCTTGTGGTTCCAGCAAACCCATCGTTTCATCACAAT